TTGTAGCTATTTATGGCTCACTGCTAACTTTATTGATCAGAACTAGGAGTTACATAAGATGATTAGAGTTTTGTGACCATTACTAGTCACAAGGGTAGGGAGATAGGGAAAATGGTAGAAATGCATTCTTGAATGGGGTATTGTCCACTTTATAATGGATAATGCTAGTGCTAATGATGTGCAATCAATTACTTGAAGGATAGATTGGTGGATAGGAATGCCTAATTATGGATAGTCAGTATTTTCATATGAGATGCATTGCTCTAGTATGAATTTGATTATGAGGGATGGTCTTAGTGAGGTAAAGGATAGTATTAGCCGTATCCGTAGTTTAGTTAAGTATTGAGGAGTTCTCCTGTAGAGCCTTAGCATTTGAAAGATGTGTGAAAGAGGAAAGAATAACTTATAAAGGTGTGTGTGTCCAAATGTGGCCACTAGATGAAACCTCCAGTTATATTTTTCCTTCATGGTAAGTATGATGAGAATAAGAGAGAACCATGATTGTTCTTCATGGTAATTAAGAATAAGAGAAAGAAAGAAATAAGAGTAGAACAGAGTTAAAGGAGAAGAACAGTATTAGAAAGAAATATGAACAGGGAGAAATAGAAATAGAAGAATAGTAGAGTAAGGAGAGAACCAAAGAGTGAGTTGCAGGGACAGGTAGTAGAGGATTTACTTACTGAGCATTGTTGTGCTCACCCCGTTATTCTTCTCTATTTTGCAGGATTCAGGAGTAGCGATCGGATGGACGTTGAGGAGCGAAGAGTATTGGCACTACTGTCCACCAGCTATGATATTTTGTATTAATTAGAAAGTTTTTAATACATGGTATTTTGTATTTGTAAAGAAGTATATTTTTATGAGTAAAGAAAAATTTGAGCCCACTATCTTTCATATTATATACATATCTATATTTTACATAGTACGTATTATAAGAATAGTACTAAAGAGGAGTTGTTACAATACTACACCATTTTCAAGCTTCCACATCAACAATCTCCACCTTGGAAGCATTGAAAATAGTCCATTAGTGCAGTTTGCACAGTCCATTCCCCTATAGCTCTAGTCACTCCAACTTATTTTATGAATAGCAAATTCAAGTAGTGCTTGAATTTTGCTGGAGTAACTATTTTGGTGCCCATGTCTGCTAGGTTCTCTTCTGTAGCAATCTTCCTCAGCTCAATAACTCCTCTGGTGATTAGTCTCTCACAGAGTGATAGCGGACATCCACGTGTTTAGTTCTTTCGTGGTATACAGGGTTCTTACTCAGATGTATAGCACTCTGGCTATCTAAGTAAATTGTTACCTCCCACTTATTATGTTGGCTTCAGTCAGAATTCCCTTTAGCCACAGAGCCTTTTTAAACACATCAACCACTGCAATACATTGGATTCTGTTGAGGAAAGGGCCACAAATATTGACTGTAATTGAGACTTCCAACTTATGTAGTTTCCACCGAATGTGAAGAAGTATGTTGTGGTTGATTTTCTAGTGTCTTTGTCCCCTACAAAGTTAGCATCTACAAAACCAACAAGATCAAGTGAAGAAGTTCTTTTACAGTATTCAAGACCAACACACAATGAACTGTGTATGTATTTTAACACCCATTTAAAGGTTGTCCAATGTTCCATACCTGAGTTAGACATGAACCTACTCAACATGGAAATGGCAAATGCTAAATTTGACCTAGTACTAATCATTGCATACATCAAGGACCCAACAACATTTGCATAAGGGACATATTCCATTTTTAATAAATCTGCTTCAGTCTTGGGGCTTTGGGATTTACTGAGTACAAAGTAATTGGTCAGGGGCATTGAGACCAGTTTGGCACCAACCATGCCAAACTTTGTAACTAACTTGAGTAAGTATGATTGTTGGTGCAACCTTAGCTTATACTTCTTTCTATCCCTATTTATCACCATACCTAGGATTTTCTTGGCACACCCTAAGTTTTTCATGCTAAACTCAAAACTGAGTTTCTTCTTTCGGTCACTAATTAGGGATTTAGATTTACTTATTAGCAACATATCATTAATGTATAACAGTAAGTATATAGGCATGTCATTACTCATTGTGAAGTAGAAGCAACTATCATATATACTTCTAGTGAACTCTATACTCACTACGAAGGTGTCAAACCTCTTGTACCACTATCTAGGGGACTGCTTTAAGCCATATAAAGATTTTTTAAGGAGGCAGACATGGTTAGAAGCATTAGGGTCTATAAAACCCATTAGCTAGCTCATATAAATTTGTTCCTCTAAGTTTCCATGCAAAAAAAAAAAAAAAAAAAAAACAGTGGTAACATCTAACTGTTCAAGTTCCAGATCGTGGTGGGCCACTATTGATAACATCATTCTAATTGTCTTATATTTAACCACAGGGGAGAAGACTTCATTGAAGTCTATACCCTCCCTTTGGATATACCCTTTTGCAACAAGTCTCGCTTTATACCTAGGTGGATTAGCTATAGAGATGCCATCTTTTATTTTAAATAGCCACTTACATTGAATCAGCTTATGGCCTCTTGGTTTTGGAACCAAGGACCATGTGTTATTTACCTTTAGAGACTGCATTTCCTCCTCCATGGCTGCTCTTCATTTGTCCCTATCTTTGGACTCTATGGCTTCTTGGTAAGTCTCAAGTTCAGACCTCAACACATCTGTACCTGCAAGTAAAGCAGTATAAATCAATTCAACATATGAATATCTTAAAGGTGGTCTTACTCCTTTCCTTGTTCTGTCTCTGGCCAGTTGATAATCTACTAGTTCATCCTGTTGTGGTTCCAGGAACTCTTCAGCTTCATCATCTACTACTTGATCAGGTTCACCGGGTTCTGTTTCTTCTCCAGGTGGCTGGTGTGCTCCCATTTGAGGTGGATTAGGTTGTTGAGTTGTAGGGTCCACCTTAATTTGAGTAACACTAGGTTGAATAGCTGTTGATTTTGTACTCTTAGATGTACCTGTATCAAAGTTAGTTTCTTTGCATGCCTGCTCACTATGATCCTAACTCCTAGGAACTCTCTATCCAATAACTTATACCCTTTTGTGCCTTCTTGATATCCTAAGAACACACACTTAGTGGATCTAGGTTCTAGCTTGCCTCCCTGTGTATGTCTATAGGCTGCACACCCAAACCCCTCAGGTGACCTAACCATTGGGTACCCTAGTTTTGGTTCCGGTTCCTACCCGAAACTGGTTGCCACATGGTCGGTTCCAGTTCCAAAAAATTGGAATCGACATTGTGCGGTTCTGGTTCCTGTAAGGAGGAACTGGGAACCGGTACTTAAATGAAATTGTGTTAAAATGTGGGGAATTTTCTGATATTTTATGTTTAATATAAAAAACAAAAAAATGCTATTATTGATTTAGGGTTCGTATAGTTAACAAAACTTAAAAATTGAGCAGCCGCCTCATTGATTTTCTTCGGCTATATATGACTTCATAGGAATCTAATCTCCAATCTTCCATCCTCTACGCATCTCTTAAGCTTTTTCCTTATCACTTTGGTAGATCTGACTTCACAAATGACCTTCCCTGCCCCAAAAAAGCCACATGTAAGTGTAAATTATAATTACATGTCAGTTTATTCTTTCATGAAGCAAATTATTTTGGATTATTGTGTTGTACTGTGGTAATTTGATTTGATTTGTAATATATATATATATATACCACAGTTGTCAATAATTTTCTTGGCTTGATTGAGGCTTTGATTCTTGGAAAGTTTTATGAAGATTAAATTTAGTGTTTCAGAGGTGGGTTTTGTTTTGTTTTGGTATCGGTTGATTATCATGAATTGAAAGTACTGGGTTATTATAAGTTTTTTTATTGGTATCTTGATCCTTTATGGTGATTTTTTTGCTTGGTATCATCTTTTTTATGCTGAATTGGAGCTATTAGATTCTCATATTTACATTTATTCACGTATTTTTTATGCATAAGAGTTAATTAATTTTATTGAATAACTTAATCTGTTAAACAAGTTAAGGTGAATGGTTAAATTTAGGTAGTTTTATCTGAAGCTATTGCTAAGGTTCCAAAGAACTAGATCCCATGTGTGCTAACAAATGACCTATAAAATGGGTACGTGGATTCTTGAAGTAGGTTTGATTTGTTCTTGGACTAGTAATTGGTTAAATTATAAATATATTCATTGTTCATACATATTTTCATTGTAGACATTTTTATTTAGTTAAATGTTAATTATACATATTTTCATTGTATGTTGATTGCTTGAATGTTTGTAGGAACAATGTCATCAATTAGAGAAAACATTGAAATTGAGGATACGCCTAATATGGGAGAGTCAATATCAAATAGAAATACACATGGACAAGGTAAGCAATCTGGAGTGTGGGACCATTTTGAGAAGATTTATAATGAGAGAACCAACAAAGTAGACCAGACAAAGTGTTTCTATTGTGAGAAGTTGTTGGCGTACAATGTGAGTAATGGAACTTCCTCTATGCGTAAGCATTTATCAAGTTGTAAGAAATACCCCCACAATGTAGATAAAAGCCAAACAATTCTCTCATCTTTTAGAAGCACAAACAAAGAAGATAAGTACAGTTACCACTTGGAGATTTAATCAAGAGGTCTCTAGACAATTGCTTGCTGAGATGATAATTGTTGATGAAGAACCATTTACAAAAGTGGAGCGGCCAAGTTTTAGGAAATATGTAAGTTCATTTCAACCTTTATGGAAGCACATTTCACGTTATACAGTGGCTAGGGATTGTTTGAAGATTTACAATTGTTAGAAGATTTCATTGAAAAAACATTTGAGTTCTCTGAAGTCTATGATTGCTCTAACGACTGATATATGGACTTCCATTCAGAATTGTAGCTATTTATGGCTCACTGCTAACTTTATTGATCAGAACTAGGAGTTACATAAGATGATTATGAGTTTTGTGACCATTACTAGTCACAAGGGTAGGGAGATAGGGAAAATGGTAGAGAAATGCATTCTTGAATGGGGTATTGTCCACTTTAATAATGGATAATGCTAGTGCTAATGATGTGGCAATCAATTACTTGAAGGATAGATTGGTGGATAGGAATGCCTTAATTATGGATAGTCAGTATTTTCATATGAGATGCATTGCTCATAGTATGAATTTGATTATGAGGGATGGTCTTAGTGAGGTAAAGGATAGTATTAGCCGTATCCGTAGTTTAGTTAAGTATGTGAGGAGTTCTCCTGGTAGAGCCTTAGCATTTGAAAGATGTGTGAAAGAGGAAAGAATAACTTATAAAGGTGGTGTGTGTCCAAATGTGGCCACTAGATGGAACTCCATTTATCCCATGCTAGATACTGCAATTAAATTCAGGAAATCTTTTTAGAGTTTGGAAGATGAGGACCCCAACTTTGCTATTGATTTGTCACATGAAACTCCTTTAACTGATGATTGGGAAAAAGCAATTGTGTTTGCCAAATTCTTGGAAACGTTTTACGAAGCTACTAAAAGGATGTCAGGGATGAAATATGTGGCTTTTAACAATTATTTTGATGAGATAGTTTCCATTGTCTTTACTTTGAAAGATTGGGAAAACGACCCTTATCCTTGTCTTCACAGCATATCTAAGAAAATGAGAGAGAAGTTTGACAAGTATTATGGGAGTCTTGACAAAGCCAATGTGATGGTGTTGATTGCAACGGTATTAGATCATCAGTATAAGATGATATATGTGAACTAGTGCTATAAAAAGATTTATGCCAATGACTTGGCAAAAGTTGAAATGATGACTACAAACTTGAGAGATGTATTATAACTACTGTTTGGAGTTTATGACCTACTTGTCTCAAGTGTGGAACAAGGTCCAACTTCTAGTTCCTTTCCACCAAAGGGAACTAATCAATCTTCAAATGGTGTTGTTACTTCTAATGCTACTATCAAGTATCACCCATTCAAGGACGCATTTTTGGAGGAGATGGATGTAGGGGTAGTTGATGTTAACAAATCAGAGTTAGAGCAGTACCTTAAGGAGAAACATGAACCCGTGAAGTGTGAGTTGGGTATCTTGGATTGGTGGAAAGCAAATAAAGGGAAGTATAAGGTTCTCTAGCATATGGCAAGAAATGTCTTTGCAATTCTGGTGTCAACAGTTGCTTCCGAGTCAGCTTTCAGTACATCAGGTTGTGTACTTGATCAATTTCAGAGTTCTTTATCTCCGAGTGTTGTACAATCGTTAATTTGTACACAAGATTGGTTAAGATGTGCACCCTCACCTACTCCTGAAGATTACTTGGTGGATGCAGAGACATATGATTTAGGTAACTTATTAATATGAATGTGTTATATTTTCATTTAGTTAATGTAGTTTTATTCAATTTTTTTAACATACTAAATTACTAATTGATTAATTGACTTCCTTTTTTGTTTTCTTTTTTGTAGTACTAAAAGCAATTGATGAAGAAACTATTACCACTGCAGATTTTAGGGATGAAACTTGATACGTTATCATTTTTTTGTACTTGTGTTATTTAAAATGTTATTTAACTTTAATGTTAGGAGTTTGAACATTGATATGTTATTCACTTATTATGTGATGTCATTGTGTTCTTTAATGTGTTATGTAATTTTAATTTTGGGAGGAAGAAACTTGATGGTTGATATGTTATTATGTTGTACTTGTGTTATTTAAGTTATAAAGTGCTATGTAATTTTAATTTTGTGAGGTTGAAATGGATATTGAAATAGTGTTAATTTTTGTAAAGTCTGCAGGATGTATTTGTCATTTCAGAAAGCTAATAGGGGTGTAATTATAATTTTTAAGGGTTTATTTGTTTTTTTTTTTAATTAGGGGGGTAACGGATATTTGATAGGGTACCCAGAACCGTCGGTTCTGGTTTTCGTTCCAAATTAAAGGAACCGGTTGGTTCCGGTTCCTTCAAAAAAGGGCGAGTACTTGGACCCGCCCACCCTCACCTACGGCTGTAGAGGGGCTCCTATTTACTTGGTAAGCAGCTATAGTGAGGGCTTCTCCCAAAAGGTTTTTGGAAAGTTTGAGGTAATCAACAAGCACCTAACCTTTTCTAATAGTGTCCTATTCATTCTCTTAGCAACCCTATTTTGCTGAGGGGTGTTTCTTACTATTCTATGCCTCAAGATCCCTTATTCACTATAGAAACTATCATACTCCAGGTTAGAAAACTCAAGCCCATTGTCAGTCCTCAAAGCTTTAACCCTTCTACCTACCTGATTTTCTACTAACACTTTCCAATCTTTAAACCTAGCAAAGGCTTGATCCTTTGACTTTAGTAGGTAAACCCACACTTTCCTACTGTAATCATCTACAATAGAGAGGAAATAAATGTTTTCTCCATGTGATTTTACCTTTTCAGGCCCCTATAAATTAGAGTGTAAGTAATCAAGCCAATTTGTAGTTAAGTGGGTTCCCTTAGAGAAGCTATTTCTATGCTGTTTACCTAGAACACAATTCTCACAAAATTCTAAGGTAGTAACAGAGTCTTTCCCAAACTGCCCTTAACTATTCAGAACATCCATCCCCTTTTGACTCATATGACCCAACTTCAAATGCTACTTTTCAGTCACAAATAAATTTGAAGAAATAAGAGCAGTATTATTGCAATCATAATAGAAACATCCATAGAGAATAAAAAGACCCTTTTTCTGTTCTCCTGTTAAGACTAACTTTCCATTCCTATAGACATTAACCAGCCATTGTCAGCCCTATAGCAGCATCCTGCTTCATCTAGAGTCCCTAAGGAAATGAGGTTTCTTTTAAAATCAGGGATGTATCTAACTTTGATTAGTTTGATTAGTTTCCCCCCCACTTAGCCTTAGTGTTATGATGCCTATTCCCTTAACTCTACAAGCATGATTATTTCCCATGAATACTGTGTCATGATCAGAGGTTTCAAATTCTTGAAACAAGCTCCTATTTGGGCTCATATGAAAAGTACAACCTGAGTCTAACGCCTATTCCTTAGCAATGTCAGATGTTGACACTGTAAGTACTTTTGGTTCATCTATCAGGTTCTTAGTGGTGGCCAAATTATTCCAAGTGTTTCCTAGTTTCTGTTTCTTAATCCAGTCAAAGCAGTTTTTCTTCAAGTGACCTGTTTTATTACAGTAGAAGCACTTTCTTGTTTCTGCCTTAGCCTTATTATTCCCTTTTCATTTCTTCTTATTCTTAGCCCCATGATTAGATTGGTTTCCTTTACTAAATTGACCAGATTCAACCCTACCCTTTACAAACAAATTACTATTGTTTCTCTTAAGGGTTTTAAGCTCTAACACTCTAGCCATAAGTCCAGCAATGATCAGGTCTAAACGAGGTACAATACTCAAGTATTGTAGGACAATCTTGACTACTTGGTAGTCTTCAGTCAGTGAGTTCAACAAGATCATGGCAAAGCTAGTATCCCCCAACTCTTCATTTGTGCCTTTCAAGATCAAAGTCATTTTTAAAAACTCATCCAAATTATCCTCAATTGATTTAGAGTTATCCATTTTGTAAGAAAATAATGCACCCTTCAAAAATGCAAGATTCAATGCAGATTGTAAAGCATATAATGAGTCAAGCTTACCCCACAATCCAAGAGGAGTTTCGAGTCCATCTACCTTTTGAAGTACACTGTCCGAGAGGTTCATCACTATTAGGTTGTAGGCCTCTTCGTCGATCTCCTCCTTCTTCCTTAATTTCTCCTCTAGCCACTTCTTATGATCCTTTCCAGTGCAATTGTGACCTTGTTGTGTGAAAGAAGGGTCTTCATCTTCTTCTTCCAGATTTTAAGTGATCTTCCCATCATATTGGGTGATCTCCAATCGAATGGTGGTTGTAGTGGTCATTGTAATGGTGTTTTAGAGTTAATTTTGGAAAGCCCCAATCTGAAACCCTAGATCTTTTGCCCTAAATATTCTCACAATTCTGGAACCGTAGATTTTCCTCAAGATTTTGTCAAGATTGACAAATTCCACTCAAATCCTAAATCCCTAACCCTATAGGAAGACTCAGAACATTTGAATTTGAGAAACCCCTAAATTTTTGAAACCCTAGATTTCAAGAATCGACTTCAATCGAGACTTAGGAATGCAAGATTCTAATCTAGACTCCAAATATAGCTCTGATAACACTGTTATGTAATTAAAGAACTCTATCCAACACCACACACACACAAAAGCAAGCAAGAACAAAAAGAACATGGCGATATACCGTGGTTCACTTATCCTTTATAGGATAAGCTACATCCACATTGAGCTCCGGAAAGGGAGGAGTTCACTACACTAATTATTAACCCAAGAATCACAGTTACAAACTCACAATGATTTCAAGCTAAAGAACAAACCCTTGATATAAGATATCTTGTAACCAACCCTTAAAGAATCTCACAAAGACACTTTAAATTGAGAGAACTAACCCTCCCAAGAATGATTACAACCCTAATCACTCAAGTCTACCCGATTACAACAACCTTGATCAAGACTTTCTGACAAACCCTAAATGAGAATTTTGTTGCTCAATCGAATGAAAAAGAAGCAAAAAGTGTTCTTCGAATTGGGGAAAAAACAGAGTTTATATACCGTTGACCTATAGGTTGAATGTTGGCCGTTGGATCAGATGAAGATTGATGGTCAGGATTCACACAACACTTCCTTAAAACGAAGCTATCCAACTTAACCCAATACTACACCGTTTTCAAGCTTCCACTTCAACAATAAATGTGTTAGAAATTGTATTTGTCCTACATCTACCAATTTGGTAAACTCTCCTCCCTGATGTTGGTGAGAGTGAATTCTACTCAAGCTCGTTTATCAAAAAGAAAAAGAAAAGAAAGTAAANAGCAAAACGTTCGTCGACAAATTTGGAGGAGCCTTCAACGTGCGTTTGTTTCTCTTAACTCATGTTGTATATTTATGCAGATTTTATTTAATATAAATTGTAAAATCATACCCTTGATCTTGGCTCATGTAAACGATCCTGATATTATAATTTTTGTTTCCGCTGCGTATACGGGACCGTTTACTAACACCCTTAACTCTACAGGCATGATTATTTCCCATGAATACTATCTCATGATCAGCGGTTTCAAATTCTTGAAACGAGCTCCTATTTGGGCTCATATGAAAAGTGCAACCTAAGTCTAACACTCATTCCTTAGCAGTGTCAGATGTTGACACTATAAGTACTTCTGGTTCATCTATCAGGTTCTTAGTGGTGGCCCAATTATTCTCAGTGTTTCCTAGTTTTTGTTTCTTAATCCAGTCAAAGCAGTTTTTCTTCAAGTGACCTATTTTATCATAGTAGAAGCACTTTCTTGTTTTTGCCTTAGCCTTATTATTCCCTTTCCATTTCTTCTTATTCTTAGCCCCGTGATTAGATTGGTTCCCTTTACTAGATTGACCAGATTCGACCCTACCCTTTACAAACAAATTACTATTGTTTCTCTTAAGGGTTTTAAGCTCTAACTCTCTTGTTATAAGTCCAAAAATGATGAGGTCTAAACTAGGTACAGTACCCGAGTACTGTAGGGCATTCTTGACTACTTGATAGTCTTCAGTCAGTGAGTTCAACAGGATCATGGCAAGGCTCGTATCTCCTAACTTTTGATCTGTGCCTTTCAAGATTAGAGTCATTTTTAAAAACTCATCCAAATTATCCTCAATTGATTTAGAGTTATCCATTTTATAAGAAAATAATGCACCCTTAAAAAATGCAAGATTCGGTGCAAATTGTAAATCATATAATGATTCAAGCTTACCCCACAATCCAAGAGGAGTTTCGAGTCCATCTACCTTTTGAAGTACACTATCCGAGAGGTTCATCACAATCAGGTTATAGGCCTCTTTGTCGATCTCCTCTTTCTTCTTTAATTTCTCCTCTGGCCACTTCTTAGGATCCTTTTCCAGTGCAATCACGACCTTGTTGTGTGAAAGAAGAGCCGTCATCTTCTTCTTCCAACTTCCAAAGTCGATCTTCCCATCATATTAAGTGATCTCCAACTGAGTGGTGGTTGTAGTGGTCATTGTAATGGTGTTTTAGAGTTAATTTTGGAAAGCCCCAATCTGAAACCCTAGATCGTTTGCCCTAAAGATTCTCACAATTCTGGAACCCTAGATTTTGTCAAGATTGACAAATTCCACTCAAATATTGAATCCCTAACCCTATAGGAAGACTCAGAACATTCAAATTTGAGAAACCCCCAAATTTTCGAAACCGGCCTAGATTTCAAGAATCGACTTCAGCCGGGACTTAGGAACGCAAGATTCAAATCTAGACTCCAAATATAGCTCTAATACCACTGTTATGTAATTAAAGAACTCTATCCAACACCACACACACACACAATCAAGCAAAAACAGAAAGAACACGGCGATATACCGTGGTTCACTTATCCTTTATAAGATAAGCTACATCCACATTGAGCTCCAGAAAGGGAGGAGCTCACTGCACTAATTATTAAACCAAGAATCACAGTTACAAACTCACAATGATTTAAGCTAAAGAACAACCCCTTGATACAAGATATCCTGTAACCAACCCTTAGAGAATCTCACCAAGACACTCTAAACCGAGAGAACTAACCCTCATAAGAATGATTACAACCCTAATCAGTCAAGTCTACCCGATTACAACAACCTTGATCAAGACTTTCTCACAAACCCTAGATGAGAATTTTGTCACTCAATCGAATGAAGGAGAAGCAAAAAGTGTTCTTCGAGTTGGGGAAAAAATTGAGTTTATATACCGTCGACCTGGAGGTTGAATGTTGGCCGTTGGATCAGATGAAGATTGATGGTCAAGATTCATACAACACTTCCTTAAAACGAAGCTATCCAACTTAACCCAATACTACACCGTTTTCAAGCTTCCACTTCAACAATAAATGTGTTAGAAGTTGTATTTGTCCTACATCTACCAATTGGTAAACCCTCCTCCCTTATGCTGGTGAGATTGAATTCTACCCAAGCTCGTTTATCAAAAAGAAAAAAGAAAAGAAAGTAAAGGAGCAAGCTCGTTTATCAGAACGAGAAAAAGAAAAAAGAAAAGAAAGTAAAGGAGAAAGCTAGTTTATCATAATAAAAGAAGAAAAAGGAAAGTAAAGGAGCTGGTGTGAATTCTACCCAAACTCATTTATCAGAACGAAAAAAGAAAAGAAAGTAAACAATGTAAAGAGCAGAAAATTAAATTTGGAAACTGAAAAAAAAAAAAAAAATCAATCTCCAGTCTATTATCATCATCATATACTTGTTTACACTTCGATATATTCGTAGAATAATGCCATGATTTAAAAGCAATATTTCTCTTCTTCTTAATTTGCATACTCAGATTGCTCCATCCCCATTATCTACCAAAGATCTTCCCTCAAACACTCTTTCCCTGGCTTTACTTGCCTGCAAATATATCATTGTAGAATATATTAAGGTTTAATTTAAAGGGCGTAATTAATAAAGAGGGTTAATTAAACAAACCTGTTTTTCCCAATTTGTATAACTTGTTATGATAAAAAGCAGAACTGTTTGAGTAAAGGCACCAGCTTGCACTCCAATCCACAGTCCCACTCCTCTGAATTTCAACCAGAAACCCAATGTGGCAGCCATTGGAATTCCACACAAATAAAAAGCTCCAAGGTTTACAAAAGCTCCTATATGCTGCCACCCACATCCTCTTGCAACACCTAAAACAAACATTTAAAAAAAAAAAAAAAATCATAAATATGTAACAGGATAGTTCGTCTCTTTTACAAACGTCCTGATTTTTCTAAAATTTTGACTTAAACTCTCTCAAACAAAAGTAAATTTTTTTATGCATACGAGAGTTTTTTTCTACGGCAATTAATGAACTCTTGACCATGTGTTACAAAAGGAAAGGAGGCTGAATCATGAGAGGATTTGATTGAAATCCGTATCTGTGAATTTTTGTTCAAAAAAATCTCTTGGTTGAAACATCCATGAGAAAGATTCAGAATGAAAATCAGATACAAGGTAGTCCAATATGAATCAAAACACCAAAACTCAAACATGTATAAAGGGAAGAAGGAGAAGAAGTTAATTACTAACCTGAAAGGACTCCTTGTAAGGAGTCCATGATGACAGATAAGCAAACCAGAGGAGCCATGGTGGTGACATAATCCGCAACTTCTTTCTCATTGCTGAAAACATATCCGAAAACATGGCGACTTGCAAAGAGAATTGCACTCACTATAATCGTCTCTGTGACTGCTAAAAATACTACTGCATATACAGCTACTCGAGCCTTTTGTGGGTTCCCAGCTCCCAATTCATTCGAAACTCTGGTGCTGTACAAACAAGATTCACCGTAAATTTGTCTTTTTGTGTCTACTGGTAAAATCTGACAATAGTTTCAAAGTTTAAGAGTGATTTTCAAAACAAACCTTACTGCAGCACTAAGTCCATAGGGAATCGTGTAGAGTGTTGAAATTGTGTTGAGACTGCTCAGAGAAGTTGAAAATTAATAGTTAAATTTTGTTTCGAGAATAAAATAATTTTTTTATATGAAAAATCCTGATTTTTGTATCTTCGAAAATGAAAGTCTTGGATACAACTGATGTACCATATTGAACATCATTTAAGTATATTGATGTGATATGATTTGCCTTACTAAAGACTTTCTCTTCCCAAATCGCATACTTACCATACAGATAGGACAGAAGTTTCAAGCTCAGGATTTGGTAAAAGTCCTGACATCAAAATAAGGAGTTCAAATGACCACCATTCCAGGCTGCAGTTATAAACACAGAAACACTCATCAGAAAGAGGCTTGAACCCTCATCAGCAGGAAACTTGGTTTTTTCACAAAATGAAAAAAGGAAGAAAAGAAAATTACCAAATCATGACTGCAGAAGGAATAGCAAACCGGAAGAACTCTCCGATTCCCCTGAAAACATCCATGGAAATGGGAGCTCGAGTTTTCGCACAAGCAGAAGAGAACTTCATGTAAATTCCCAGGAAAATCACATTCAACCAATACGAAATACCGATGGCCAATGCTCCCCCAAGGTTTCCAAGTCCAGACTTGAACACCAATACCCAACAAAGAGGAATGTGGAAACAAAGACTGGCCAAAGAGCTCAAGAACATCGGAAATGTCAAGCTCTGCGTCTGAAAGTATCGTACGAGCGGCTGCAGAGCTGCATATGCAAAGAGAGCAGGAAGGAGCCACACTATGAATTTGCCGGCTTCATGAGAAATCCGGGGGTCTTGGCCGATGAAAACCAGAAGCCTTCCCATGAAAATCCATAGCAAAGAGAGAGGAAGACAAACTAAAAATAAAGAGAATATTGCAGTGTAAGTTTGAGTTCCAATTCTTCCATAATGCTTTGCCCCAAATGCTTGTCCACATAAAGTTTCTAGTCCACTCGCCATTCCCATCTGTTAATTTTACAATTGGGTTAGTCAATCTCTCCTGCAGACCTCTACATGGGTTTTCATGTTGCTAATCGAAAATTTCAGTCAAATTTTTGTTCATAAAAAAAGTACATCTTTTAATAACCATTCAATTGTCATAAGAATTTTTTTTTTTTTCCATCAAAAATTGACCCAAGAGAATGAGTGAATTAGCCTTGAAGAGATTGCACTTTGCAAAACTGGTGGGTTATTGAACCAAACAAAAGGGAAGAAAAATGCTTCGAACGGTAAAACAGTTGGCATTAATCAAACTCCATTACAGTGACAGATGCGAGGACCACTAATGTGTCACTTAGTCAAGTTGCAATAATACGAAGATGTATTAATTTGATTCCTACATATAATTCCAGAACAGAGTCCAAGAAATATTTCTAACTAAACTATTACCAAACAAAATAACCCACTTCCCAAAATCTCATATCTTATGATAAGGATTCATCCATTTCATATGATTTTTATATAATATCATGGATATTTAAATATAAATTCCTTCTTATGGAATGCATTTTTAGTTTCCAGCTGGATGGACCTAAATTGTTGCCTAAGATAGTTGAATATAAACATAAAAACACCATCCAGCATCTATCCGATAAAGAGTATTCAACTAATAATTTCAAACATATTAAAATATTAAAATACTGTATTAGGTCAGAAACCAAACCGTATTACATGTACGGTGTACCTATGTATGTATGTATATCTGTAAGTAGAAGACTTACAAGAAGACTGAACCCGGTGACGCCGGCGAGGGATATGGCGATGGCGGTACTAGAGAGAGCGAGTTCACCGAGATGACCGACCATCATGACAGAAATAACCTGCAACAAGTTCTGAGAAAGAATCACGGACACCATAGGAGCCGCTAAATAACCTAGAGTTTTAACTTCTGTAATGAACACATCAGAACTTGTTGCAGTTGAACTCTTCAATGGCGGCAACAACAAACTCTTCTCCATATTTTTGTTCTTCTCCGAGTCTCCCGTGGCACAAACCTCAAACTCCTACTACACTCCACAGCCTCCTCTGGCTAATTTAATTTCCAGCCGCCTCTTCTCTCTAATAATTATGTATAGAGAGAGAGAGAGGGAGAAGAGTTGTATGACTTCAGCTTTCTCTTCAATATATCTATATTTATTGAAAAAATATTTTGAAAATTTTAACGCAAGGAATGTTAAGAAGAATGTGTATAATGGGATCTTTCTGCAATCTTTACAAGTTACAGTTTAGTAATTACTAATTAGGCGCACTTTGTAATCTTTACAAGTAATGATGTAACTTCTTCAATTTGTAAAAGAGCTGCTAATCCGCTGCGTTTTGTAATAAGGGCAATATAAATTAGCCCGCCTGGTTTCTGTTTTGGCAGTTAGTGAAATATCAAGGCTTCGTTTGGTTCAAAATTTGGGGGTTTTGGGAAAGGTTTTTTGAAAAAAGTTAAAAAAAAGTTGAATTAGGCGGGTGTTACGATGTAGGATTTATAAATTATTAAAATACCCTATATGTTTGTTTTTTTACAAAATACCCCCTATAATAAAACATTAAAAGTTAACAAAAATACCCCTAACCCACCCTCAAACACCTCCAGTCGGTCACCACCACCGGAGGTGGCTGGAGTCACTTTATGGGCGCATGACCGGCTGGATCTTACCGATCATGCGCCGATATGGCCTTTTCCGGCCAGATCCACGGTAGATCTGGCTGGCAAAGGTCAGATCTACGGCCAGATCTGGCCGTCAACAGCCAGATCTGGCCGTATTTGCTCTCAACGACGGCCAACAAACGGTCGTCGTTGATGGTCAACGACGACCGTTTGTTGGCCGTCGTGATCGAGTGTTACGGCCAGATCTTTGGCCTTAGATCTGGCCTTTTCCGGCCAGATCTACGGTGGATCTGGCCGAAAAAGGCTAGATCGGCGCACTACCGGCCAGATTCAGCCGGTAGTGCGTCATTCTACCAGATTCCGGCCATTTTCCGATAGTGGTGGTCAGAATCTGGTAAATGTGGATTGTTGGGGTATTTTTGTAATTTTAAAAAAATATTTAGGGGTATTTAATTAAATTAACAAATTTAGAGGGTTTAAAAAAAAATTAAATAATATTGAAAATAGTATTCCCAAAAATGAGAGATTTTGGGTATTTTACTGTTTAACTTTTTTGGGAATACCAAGAGTAGTATTCCCAATCTTGAATCAAACGAAGCCCAAGTTTCCAGATCTCTTTCTACTTTACTCTTTTGCTTTTCGTGTTTTTCGTTTCTTTTTCTTCCTTTGGTGATCCTGAAATTTATCAAGGAATAAGATATTTAATATGAATCAAACTTATATAATATTTCATGTGTTTTATAATGAGATTGATACTATCTACTTTTTTGTAATAGGGTAATTTCTAGGGATGGGCACGGGCTGGGCCTTGGGCTTCCCTGTCTCCGGTCCGTAGCCCGTTCGGAGAATTCGAGGAATCTCTGAATAAAGCCCGTTCCCCAAACAGGAAATTCGAGGATTCCCCAAATTCCCCGTTTGGGGGTTTTGTGTCTTTTTATGTCCTTATTACCATTTTCTCCAAATTATAATATATTATCCAAAAAGAAATTAAATCTATAATGTACATATTAAACATAAAGACCATCATACTAAATTGATAATATATTACAATATGTGATAGATCTATAATCAAAAGATTCAAGACATGAGCTGCCAAACTATTAAAAAGACCCCCACAATCCACATAAATAGATTCAATACATCACACTATCAAGATTTAACAACCAGCAGACAACACCTAACATTCCATTTCCATGTGCAACCCACAAACAATCTGTAGACAAATTTTAGATTATTACAAACCTAAAAAAAATCTAAACCCCATTAAATTGCATACAATTAAAATATAGAGAAATAAACCTGTCACATATGAAATCCAAAACTTTTCACAAAAAGTATCCATATCATCAAAATTATACCACTTCAATTTTCTTATAAACAAGTGAAAAAAATAAATTAGATGATATTTAAGTATTATGTACACAAATTTTAACTATCATACAAATGACTAAAGAAGATGAAAGAAAAAGAATATATTACAAACTACACAATAGATGCAAAAGCAAACTGCAGTGCAGTTTGCTTGTGCGAACTGCAGTGTAGTTTGCTTATCAATCTGCAGTGCACTTTGCACGTTGCACAGGCAAACTACAATACAGGTGTAAACATAAACTGCACTGCAGTTTGTTGTTTGCGCAATTGCACTTTACACAATGCACAGGAGATGCAAACATAAACTGCAAATACAAAATTTTCAAGCATATAAAATCTTTCATCACACGAACCAATCTAAACCCTTAAACCCCACATAAAATCTTCAAGCATAACTGTAGTGCATAACTCAATCAATCAATCTAAATGGCACATAAAATCTTCACTCATAGTCTCATACGAACCAAAACTGATGAAAGCCTGAAACTTTAAAGGAAAACAAAACCTATTTTTCTTGAATCTTGACGAAAAGGGCATGAAGAAAGAAGAGGCGAAGAGCCACCGATGAAATGTGGAGGCCAAAATCAGCGAATAAAGGATGATATTTCGGTGAAGGTTTGATAATGAAGAGGCACACCAGGCGGCAACGTTTTTACTAGATAATGGATTTAGGGTTTCAACTTTCAAACTTTGATTACATTATTCCATCGTGAGTTGAGTTGAGTTGTGGATTTGGACATAATTTGTGTTTATAAATGAAGGGCAAAACTGTTATTATGAAAACATAACAAGGGAAAATGGTAATTATGTAATGGAAATATGGAATTGAAAATTTGAAATAATGATTAAATCGTTTAAAATGAAGGACAAGGTCCACACTCCACAATGTATCAAGGACTTTATTTATAATGATTAAAAAATATATATAATGATTTATGCATTTATTACAATCAATAGCGGATCTAGAAATTTCTGTTAGGGTAGATCAAAATAAAAACTAATTACGTATTAATATTTTTTTTCCAATTAATAATTCTGTTAGCATAGGTCAAAATCCAGAAATTGTACATATTAGTATTTTTTTATTAAAATGCCCACCCTCAACAAGTGTTGGATCCACCCCTGGTTAATGATTATAATGAATCCAAATATCAAAATAATAATTATGATACATATATATACAAATACATTATATATTAACAGTATAATATTATGTATTATTGTATTAAGTAATAAGTATTAACATATGACATTATGATTACGGATAATAGCATATTATGTATAATGTATAATTTTTGTTTTATAACATATTTTGTATAATATATAATATATAATGTATTATAATAAATTCTATATAAAGATTACCATATATATTATAATGTCTCATTAATATTCTAAATAACACATAACATAATATGTGTGTGTGTGTGTGTGTGTGTAATTATCAAATATTTATAATGATTTATTATATTTAATCTAGTTTTATTTATTACCTATTTGTATATGGTTTCATAAAATATTTACACAATTATAATTTATTATTGTATAATATACAATTGATTTTCAAATGTTAAAATTAATATAGATATATATGATTGATTTTTAATTATTAAAATTAATATAGGTATAGGTATATATAATATATATGATTAAAAGTTGATTAGGCGGGGGTGTTACGATGTAGTTTTAAATTATTAAAATACCCTATATTTTGTTTTTTTACAAAATACCCCCTATAATAAACTTAAAAGTTAACAAAATACCCCTAACCCACCCTCAAACCCTCCATTCCCCACCACACCGGAGGTGGCCGGAGTCACTTTATGGGCGCATGACCGGCTGGATCTTGCCGGTCATGCGCCGATATGGCCTTTTCCGGCCAGATCCACGGTGGATCTGGCCGGCAAAGGCCGATCTATGGCCAGATCTGGGTCAACAGCCAGATCTGGCCGTATTTGCTCTCAACGACGGCCAACAAACGGTCGTCGTTGATGGTCACGACGACCGTTTGTTGCCGCTCGTGATCGAGTGTTACGGCCAGATCTTTGGCCTTAGATCTGGCCTTTTCCGGCCAGATCTACGGTGGATCTGGCCGAAAAAGGCTAGATCGGCGCACTAACCCGGCCAGATTCAGCCGGTAGTGCTCATTCTACCAGATTCCGGCCATTTTCCGATAGTGGTGGTCAGAATCTGGTAATGTGGATTGTTGGGTGTTTTTTTATAATTTAAAAAAAAATATTTAGGGGTATTTAATTAAATTACAAATTTAGAGGGTTTAAAAAAAAATTAATAATATTGAAAATAGTATTCCCAAAAATGAGAGATGTTGGCGGTACTAGAGAGAGCGAGTTCACCGAGATGACCGACCATCATGACAGAAATAACCTGCAACAAGTACTGAGAAAGAATCACGGACACCATAGGAGCCGCTAAGTAACCTAGAGTTTTAACTTCTGTAATGAACACATCAGAACTTGTTGCAGTTGAACTCTTCAATGGCGGCAACAACAAACTCTCCTCCATATTTTTGTTCTTCTCCGAGTCTCCCGTGGCACAAACCTCAAACTCCTACTACACTCCACAGCCTCCTCAGGCTAATTTAATTTCGAGCCGCCTCTTCTCTCTAATAATTATGTATAGAGAGAGAGAGGGAGAAGAGTTGTTTGACTTCAGCTTTCTCTTCAATATATATATATATTGAAAAAATATTTTGAAAATTTCAATGTAAGGAATGTTAAGAAGAATGTGTATAATGGGATCTGTCTGCAATCTTTACAAGTTTCAGTTTAGTAATTAGGTGCACTTTGTAATCTTTACAAGTAATAATGTAACTCTGCAATTTGTAATACGCTACGTTTTGTAATAAGGGCAATATAAATTGAGTAATGATACAGTCACCGACGGTAGTACACCGAATTTGTGCACCGAATAACGTGACAAAATTCTAAACGTTGATTAATATTAAGTTAAAATTAATCAACGGTCAGGATTTTGTCACGTCATTCGGTGTACTACCATCGGTGGTTGTATTATTTTCCATAAAAATTAGCCCGCCTGGTTTCTGTTTTAGCAGTCAGTGAAATATAACTCTTTCTACTTTACTCTTTTGCTTTTCGTGTTTTTCGTT